ATGAACAGGAAATTCACATGCATGTCACACGCCCCGGCACGTGGACTCAGGACGCCGCTGTCTGCCACGCGCTGAGCCACTGGGCCCGAGTGAGAGCCCACGCCGAGCCGTCCAGGCCAGAGCTCCGTCACACCTTCCTGTCTTTAGACAGAGCCGGGGCACAGGCACCCTCGCTGTCCCCAAGCCGAGCGCAGACCACAAGGCCACGGCACAGACCGGCCCCGGGGGTCAGTCCGGGGCTGTGGCCGCAGCAAACTCAAGCACCAACCATGAAGACACCTAATGACTCCTCTGGTTTAAAAGGACAAAACTGTCAATAAATATGTAGAAATGAAAGGGAAGGTCAGAAAAGAACAAACCCAGACGGGAGGCGGCACCAAGCGCCCCTGGAATGTGGGGACTGCCCTCCCCCGCCCACGGGGTCTGAAGCTAACACGTCACAAAGGGCGCCTCCTGGCTGCAAAGCATCGGTGTGTCTAACTACACAGCATGGCACCGCGGGCCCAGGGCTGAGGACGGCGGGCGCAGGCTGAGGCTGCGGGGAGAGCGCGACTACTCCGCGTGCCTCTCGCTAGCGTGGTCCCCGCACGTGGTGCCTGCGGGGGCACAGCCGGAAGGAGCAGGAATGTGCCGGACGGTGAGCTCCAGTGGGACGGGGGGAGGGAGCCCACGGCGTTCGGAACGCGACTGTGAACAACTCCAGGCAAGTCTCGCAAAGCTGGTCGGCGTGATGGCGGGCGCCTCCTGTCCAGACGGGTGACATCGACAGAGGGCTCTCCCGCGAAGCTGTCTGTAAAGCGACTGAACTAGAGCCACTAATGGGCCGTTTATAATCGGCCGTCGGTGCTGATGAAGTCTAAGAAGCCGGCGCCCCCTGTCCACAGCGACGCTGGGGGAGGGTCGTTAGTGAGATGCAACCCAGAGAGTCACGTGGAACTGAAAATGCCCGATGCGCCCACAGAATCGTGGACAAAAGGTATTTTTTCTAAAACCGAGATTTAACTATCAAAAATAAACTTCTAAGTCTGAATGTACGTATCCACATCATTGGTCGGTTGCGTTCTCTCCATTTTCACGCTTCCACGCGCAGCGAGGCGGCGGCGACGCTGAGATGCAACCCAGAGAGTCACGTGGAACTGAAAATGCCCGATGCGCCCACAGAATCGTGGACAAAAGGTATTTTTTCTAAAACCGAGATTTAACTATCAAAAATAAACTTCTAAGTCTGAATGTACGTATCCACATCATTGGTCGGTTGCGTTCTCTCCATTTTCACGCTTCCACGCGCAGCGAGGCGGCGGCGACGCGATGGGGTCTCGGCCGCAGGTTCCGCCTACGGGCCGT